GGCCAGGGGAGGTGACACCTACAGTACGTTGAGTTCACACTAAAGGTTACACAAAGTGCACTAGGAGTGCACTAGATGTGCACTACTAGTGCACTTCAAAGTGCACTAGTAGTGCACTACTAGTGCACTTCATAAGTGCACTTTGTAGTGCACCAGACCTATTATAGGTATAAAGCAGTTACCTTTTATTTCAATGAATAGCAATTTGACTGATAAATATAGATATCTGTATAATAGTTTTTCATAATAAATTTGAAGTTGTGAATATTGGATTTTGTAAAATTTGGCGTAAAATGTTAGAACAATAATTTTTCAAAGTCATTATTTGTCCTGTTTTAAGACATTGTTAGAATAAGTAAATATAAATAGTAATAACTTTAATGTTTATAAGTGCATAAATAAACAAAATTAATTTATATTTAATATGATTCTATTTTATTATAATCTGGTAATGAAATATGAAACATTGTATTTGTTTGGTTTTTTTTTGGGGGGGGGGAGGGGCAAATTATACCAATTAGTTATTTTTGATCTTAACTTATGGTTGTTTTAGTTAAAGGTAATACTTTTAAGCATTAATAGCTTTTAAATACATTATAGATTTAATATGTTTATACTTGGCCAAAATTTTGTCAATTTTATCTCATTTATAATCTCTCTTACCTTCTGAAACTGAGATTTACCTAAGATTTATATAAATGAATATATATATTCTAAAAATAAATATTTATATATAAATAATGGGTATATTTAAATATATTGATATGCGTGGATTTAGTATTGAAATGTACCTGTGGGACAGCAGTATACTTTAATTGACATGGATATTAACAAAAAGATTAGAAAATCTTACAATTCCATTTTTTGAGACGACACCAATCTTTTTTCTTTTTTCCATGCATTGTTACATAATTATGCAATATTATTATTTTGATGAGTTTATTATAAAATGCAAAAATATTCAGTTTCCTTTTTTCTTTTTTGTACTACTTGTAATGAAATTTATTTGCACCAACATCCAAAGAATACAGATTTTACATTGCCTACTTAATTATATTTATCATCTGCCTTTTGTTATTTACCCTGAGGGGCTCTCTTATCAGCAGGGTACTATATTAAAACACCAATACACAGCATGACTTTTGACACTTCAATCTTCTGTAACTGTTTCCTGCGGGATACGGACAAAAGCCCCCCGGACGAAAGCCCCCCATCTAAAAATGACAAGGTGGACAAAAGCCCCCCCCCATGAAATTTTCACATAGGACAAAAGCCCCCCCCCATAAAAAAGTAAAGGTAGGACAAAAGCCCCCCCCCACATTGTCAATCAAATTTACATATAGTGTATTAAAGTTGTGATTTTTTATGTGTTTAAAAGGTATGTATGGACATCACATGTAGGTGACATAGTGCTTAGGATATTAATTTGATCCCTTTACAAAAGTGATTAAACATTACTACTCTTCTGACCCTTGTTGTGTATTTGAAAAGCTATGAATTCGGTATCGCATGCATGCATTATTTAATTTTTTATCATAAACTTTGTTATCACTTCAATATATACATTATAAATAAACATTAAAACAAATTATTTTCATTTTTATTTAAAAAGTTTGTGTGAAATTTGATGAATTTGAGCACCTGCTCGTGTGAAAAAAGATGGGGGGGGGGCTTTTGTCCTACCTGTATTTTTGATGGGGGGCTTTTGTCCTATGTGAAAATTTCATGGGGGGCTTTTGTCCACCTTGTCATTTTTTGGACGGGGGGGGGGGGGCTTTCGTCAGGGGGGGGGGGGGCTTTTGTCCTACACTCTATCATGTATGGTATTTTTGTTAAAAATAAAAAACAGATCTGCATTAAAGTAATATGGAAGAGTTGCAAAAGTTTTATAATCATGTATAAATTTCTTTAAAATATATTATCTTCTAAATGTGTTTAAACTGACAAGGTAAATTTGTCAAATCTATAATAGAAAAAAATAACATTTCCCAGTTCAGAAACTCAAAGATGATTTAAATGCAGAATTGCAAGAAATGTGGAAAATATTGATATGAGGTCTTTCCAGAATAGTTAACACTGATATTGATTTTAAACCAGTTTTTTTATGATAAGATTCAAAGACAATAATGACAATAATACCTAACATGCGTTTATGCCATTTTTATTATTTTTTTACATTTGATTATACAAAAATTAAAGTCATTTATCTTAGATGTCTTACATGTATTTTGGGGGGAAAAAACAGGAAAATTTTAATAAATATAGCATACATCTGCGTTTTTGTTATTTACCCTGAGGCCCTCTTATCAGCAGGAGACAGTATAATGAAAACAGGCGCTCTCAGAAAAATACAATACACAGCATGACTTGAGACTGTCCTCTTGTATAAAAGCATTCCCTTTAAACATTAATTTTTTAATATAGAAATCTTAAATAAAGTTATCAATTTATTTATTTCATGCACAGATATATAAACTTATATTTAGCTCCATGATTTCATGGATTTTTTTTAATTATTTATATCTTTTAAAAGTATGCAGGCATTTCATGATTGAAAAACATAATATCAGTGTATCATCATGCAGTGTATGGATTGTTTTAAAATCAATGTATTAATATTCTCTTTCAATCTTGAACATGAGGAATTGCCTCCTACGTTATATACTATTATGTAGAGTGGCAAGAAATGTGGATAAATGGATATATATATAGAAAATTCCGCTTAAGAGACAATAATATCTAACATGCATTTATGCCATTATGATTTTTTTTTGTATATTTGATTAAACAAAAATTATGGTCATTTATCTATATAACAGACTAACAAGCCTGAGTGCCAACACCTGATGAATCCCAGGCTTATGACTAACATGCATTTTGAGAAAACCAGGGAATTTCAATGCATTCTAATAATTTAGTATTCAACTGTGTAATGCTTGCATAATTATGTTTTTAAGATAAAAATAATTAAAATATTATCCATAAAATAAATAAATTTGATAACTTTATTCATGATTTCAATATTAAAAATTTAATGTATAAAGGGAATACTTTTATTGAAGAGGAAAATCTCAAGTCATGCTGTGTATTGGTATTTTCTGAGAGGGACTATTTTCATTATACCACTCTCCTGCTGATAAGAGGGCCTCAGGGTAAATGACAGTCAATTTTTCAGATTATAAGTATGCATTAAAATTCCCCGGTTTTCTCAAAATGCATGTTGCACTCAGGCTTTTTAGTCATATAGATAAATGAACATCATTTTTGTATAATCAAATATACAAAAAACTCATAATGGCATAAATGCATATTAGATATTATTGTCTCTAAAGCGGAATTTATCCACATTTCTTGCCATTTTGCATAATAATATATAACTTAAGAGGCAATTACTCATGTTCAAGATTAAAAGAGAATATTAATTCATTGATTTTAAAACAATCCATACACTGTGATATTATGTTTTTTAACCATGAAATGCTTGCATACTTTTTAAAGATATAAATAATTAAAAATTTTCCATGGAATAAATAAAATTGATAACGTTATCGAGATTTCTATATTAAAAATTTAATGTATAAAGGGAATGCTTTTATTCAAGAGAAAAGTCTCAAGTCATACTGTGTATTGGTATTTTCTGAGAGGGACTGTTTTCATTATACCACTCTCCTGCTGATAAGAGGGCCTCAGGGTAAATAACAAAAATGCAGATGTATGCAATATTTATTTGAAATTTCCTGTTTTTTTTTCCCTCCAAAATACGTGTAAGACATATATAGATAAATGACTGTATTTGTTGTATAATCAAATGTAAAAAATAATCATAATGGCATAAACGCATGTTAGATATTATTGTCTTTGAAGTGGAATTTTCTAATCTTATCATAAAAAACTGGTTTAAAATCAATATCAGTGTTAATATAAAGTTCTGACCTTCGTCAGAGTTTGAAAAGAGGAAAAAACACAGGGTCTTTTAAAGAAATTTAAAGGGCAATTAATTAATAAATTGTATGTCCCAAAATATCCCAAATTGGATACACTGTACTGTAAAAAGAGATCCAAACTTTCCAAATGATAACTAATTATAATTAACATCATAAATATAAAAACACGATTACAAAGAATAATTTAAGAACATTCGAATAAAAACTGAAAATAATTAAATGAAAATATGTTTAAATGACAGAAAATAAAATCAATTAATTCATACTTTTATTTGAAATTTTTTGCGCATAAATCGTATGTCCCAGGTTTGGAGTACGGAACAGAACTGTAAATTGTCTCTGTAAAAACACTAGTAAATTGGCAATTAAGTGTTTCGGCTTTATCTATGTCTGTTTCAGCGGATTTACCGTTTTCTTACTTTAAGGGTGGTATACCTTGCGGGTCTTACTTCGATCTGACTACTATCACATATACGTGTATAAGAGAAGACTTCATTCCATAAAAAACATTTCATTAATATTAATTTTTGAAGAAAAAAAAAACAACAACAAACAAACCAAAATAACAACAACACAATCTGCATAATTTATATAATGTCATCTACTATACATGGCAAAACAACTAAATAGTTGTGTACGTGTGTGTATTTGCGTTTATTTATACTCGCCACCGGTTGCCCATATGGGCGAGTCCTCCAGAAGAGTATTTGTCATTTTATTTTTTTGGAGGATAGTGCAATTACAAGTACAGAAAGATGCCCCAATTCCAGAAGCTTCTCCTGGTTCTTTAGCGTGCCAAGTATTAAAGCACCCATACACGGGACCTCGATTTAAAGAGCCATCTTAAAGACTGATTAGTAATTTTAGTTGGCCAGCCCGGGAATCGAACCCACAATGTCGAGATTACAAGTCTCGCGCTCTAACCGATTGAGCTATGCGGGCTGGCATCTAACTCAATAGTTTCGTAATATCTTGACTTTTATTCATAATCATTATCCGAAATAGCGGTACTCAACCTACCTCTATTAAAACTGAACATATTCTTCATATGTCTTATTAAACAAGAACATCCCAAAAATTGTCCATGTTCTGTGTTATTGCATAAGGCCATAATTATGACAGAAAATAAAGGCTTTGGTGGTTTTTTCGGGTCCAGTGATCCAGATCTAAATATTCCAGGTATAAAGGTTTTATATTTAACTCATTAAAACGGGAATGATTCTTACGTTTTTAAGAAAACTCAATTTGTCCTTCGCCATGAGTTTCAGAATGGGTGGGGTAATTAGAAAATTTATATGGTTTGGGTAGATATATAGTATATTTTGTATATTTAATTTTGTTAAGATTTATATGAAGATGTTACATCCCACAATCATGCATCCTACCACAGGTGTTTGGCACGTTGATTGGTTACTACCCCCCCCCCCCCCCTCCCTTTCCCTGCTTACCCACACAGACTGTGTGACACTTGGGGTGTGGAGCTCAAAACGCCTTTAAAATCCAAATAAAATGTATATTTATAATAAATAGAATATCAAATTCGTATAAGTTCATTACTGAATGTTTTGAACTCTTTAAATAAAATAATAATATGCTCCCCGAGACTCGCATAATATATCCGATTCAGAGTCAACTCGTCCTCTGGTCAACTCGTCACCTTTTTGGTCAACTCGTCCCCTGGACAACTCGTCCTCTAGTCAACTCGTCCCCAACTCGTCCCTTATATTTTATTACTACTTGTTTTTCATATAGTTCATAAATCATTATAGACTGTTAAAATAATATATTATAAAATTACTGAATTGGACATATTTTGACGCTTTTTGTATGCGAATATTTGGAGTTTCATCTTATAATAAGGATATATATGCATAATTCTGATTAAATTACATACAGAAAAAAAAACACAAAGACGATCAATAGCAATAACATTTAATGTATAAAAACATGTTTTATATGCAAAGATAAAATATCTTAAAGTATGTCTTTTTTGTCAATATTATGTCATACATGTATATATTTACTTTCACTTTCACACTTTCATTTAATTAACACGATCCTTCTATAATGAGATCAATACGCACCGACATAAAGTTTTAGCGCTTCTAATTTCTGTTAATCTGTCGTCAGTCTTTAATCCATTCAGGGAGGCGGTAAAAATCAAAAGAGTTGGACCTAATTTTAGTTTTAATTATCATTAAACTCCGATTAATTAAACATTAATTGAATGTTTGTAAACTTACCTGTCATTGTAGTTTGACATCAAAGCTATGCACGTGCACTTAGATAAAGATCATTAAAATTTAACGTAAAAAGACGTAATTATTTTATTAATATTTCGATATCAATCAAATTCAGTATTAATTTTACATATTTTACATAAAAGAATTATTTAAAGACATTTTAAAGACAGAGATCGAAAGTAGGGGACGAGTTGACCATATTAGGGACGAGTTGACCAAAAGTAGGGGACGAGTTGACCAAAAAGGTGTCGAGTTGACCAGAGGACGAGTTGACCAGGGGACGAGTTGACCGGATTGCATATATCCACACACTGCCAGTTTTCAATCACAACCACTTTTCAATCACCCCTAGAATTTTTTTATTTTTGACCTTATTTGTCATGTAACCAAACTGTAAGCACATCTTGTACTCCCCTTGACTAAATTTATCAGCAGCAATGTCAATTTAGGCGATAAAAAAAGAAAATGCTAGCATTTTAGTTCAAAATATGTAAAAAGTGTGTTTTCCACTAATCCTTTATTTACACAGTTACAAATCGCAATAATTTTCTAAAAATAATTGATATACAGACTCAGTTTTTTGTCAGTCTGCAGAAATGGATATTAAGTTGGACAACTGTTTCAATATCATGAAGTCACAATGTATACTGCACTTCAAAAGTTGTAATTTTAATATGTACATATTTTACCATACAGTTCTTAATTGGAAGGTAATACATCAGTAAAGTAACAGTCACTTAACCAAGGAAAAACATTCTCTGTGATAACTCTCAGTAAGCAGTCACTAGAATCGGGTCATATAGACCCTAAGATCCTAAAAATTTCACAAGAACATGCTTTTTCTGTTATGCAAATTGAAATGTACATCCATACCCCAATTGTGACAGCTTTACCACTGCAAATAAATATCTAGATTGAAAAACGGCATTATAATTAGGTTAAAATTGTTTATTACCATTTATCTGAAGTTGAGTTTGTCAAAATTTCTCCAAAATACAGAACTAATTATATTTTAACATTGTATGACATTTTTTATGTGGTACAGTTTATATTTTGTTAACTGATTGAAAAGTGGTTGTGAAATTTTGAAGAACAGGAAAATGGGTCAGTAATGATTTGTCCTCAATTCATAGTAATAATACAAGTAAAATTTTAAAAAGTTGGTGCATTTATTAGCTGAAATGATAATATTTGCAGAATTGAAAGAGAATTTTTTTTATATATAATTTCACTGTCAGTTATTGTTGAAAAATCTGTTAGCTGATTGGAAAGAGGCAGTACGGGGATAATTTTATTCAACTCTTTCAATAAATTCAGGATTTAACTTACAGTAATTCAATATCCTCTATTTATTATACTCCTGCGCCGGGTTTAATTATCTTTATGTGATAAATTAATTCTTTTCTTAATCTTATTATGCTGCCCGAAGGGAGAGCATAATTATAAACTGTTATGGACGTCGCATTGTCCGTCTGTCTTAATTTTCTTCAGGAATATAACTCTGAAACTACCAGAGGTTTCAACAACTTTGTAGGTTAATATATCTCATTGGGTAGTGGGTAGAAGTGCAGTGCGAAAGAACCATAACGCTTTGTTATCTAATTTTAAAGTTATTGCCTTGTTCATTTTAAACTCTGAACCTTTGGGACATAACTGGTATCAAGAAGAAACTTTGTATATAAATATTATATAGTATATGTGGTTTATGTATTATTAAATATATTTTGTTAAGAAGAAGTGCAGTGTATAAAATTGTAACTCTGCCTTGCCTAATATTAGAGTTATTGCCCTTTTCACCTTTACACTGAACTGTCCGGGACATAACTCTGAAACTATAAGAGATATTTTCTCTGTGTTCTCTGTATTTTCCGGGAGCATAACCCGGTACATCCGCTCTTGTTTCACAAATTAAAATCATGTTTCTTTGTATTTGTATTTTAGTGAAAGGGACAGCAGCTCTCTCACCTTACATGAACTTAGATCCAAGAATAGTTCAAGTAAGTGTAATATTTACCATATTCATTAACTTTATAGATTTCATATACTAAAGTTAGAAAAGGCATCAATTTAAAACTAGTACTGATAAATTTCTACATGTATTTAATGATATTCAACCTGCCTGAAGATCAAACTGGTCTCAATTACTTAGTCTTCCTGCACAGAGGATGTGACTAAGCTAAAAAGTTATTTGTTTGCATTAATTTCGAGTAATGCTGGTTCAAATATGTGTGTTAAATGTTACATTGTATAAACATTATTTTCTTAATTTGAAAATAAGTAAATATCTGAAGATATATTGCCAGATTTACTTTTAAGTTTGATTTGGGACAAGGTGAATCATTGTGGACTTTAGAAAACCAGTGTGGTATTGAATTACGGGTAGAATTGAAGGGTTGGTGTTGACTAGCCTACCTTGTAGCAATGATTGCAGCACATTATTATTGTATACCGTTTCAAACTCTCTTTTTGTCTAATATATTTTTACCCTGAAAGAATATTTTATTTTAAATTACACATACATGTAAACTATATATGAGCCGAGTCATGACAAAATCAACATAATGGGTTCACTATCAGTTTCTCTACTTGTTATATAGTTGTTAATGAACAGCATGGATCCTGATCAGACTGCGCAGGCTGGTCTGGATCCATGCTGGTCGCAAACCCTTTATGTTGGTTTTGTCATGACACGGCTCATATATGTAACTTTATGTTTCAGGATAATGAAAATTACATTTTATCTGAGGGAGCTGGAGGTCATCAGAGAGGCAAGTTTGAAAAAGCATTCTCTCAGATAGGTGGATGTGTATTTATAGGTGAGTGTTTAAGGAATACCTCGTTTCCACCTTGATTCTTAACATGACTACACAAATTATATGAAAAGCTGTCCTACACTGGCTTTGATGTCCCTTGTTCACAGTTGGATTTTGTTGAAAAAATAATAGTTTTCTTAAACATCACTTCAAGTTATTTTATTTTTTAACTTAAAATATTTGTTCTGTTAAAAATCTGCGGTCTCCGCTGTCATTTGAAATTGTTTGTGTATACACATACAAAAAAAAACATTCAGCTGCATGTATGAAAATGAAGTAAAATAATATTCAAATACATTGATTTTGAATTTAAATTCTTAACAAAAATTTTAATGTAGGACGTAGATGACTACTCCGTAACTGGCTTAATTTCTTAAATGGACATGTCGTCACATTAGAGCAAGAACTGGTTAACTCCTATTTGATTTAGTAAGTCTTAACCAGTTACTGCCCTAAAATGACAATATTTCGTCCCTCAATTTTGTTGATGTTTTAAGATGAAAATGTAAATGTCTGCCAACATTATAGAGCTGTTTAGAATTCCCAGATGTACCGGCTGGTGTGGCTCTATATTCTGTACTTGTGATAAAGGCTAATTTATTTTGATTAAAGGTGTTACTCAGTTAACCTAATTATTATTATTATATTCCTCATTATTTTATTCAGGTGGGGCACTGGGAGGAGCTAATGGTGTTATCTCAGGCATCAAAACATCAAAGGGGTACCAAGCCTCTGTTAAAAGAACACAGTAAGTGTTTTACATCAATAACTTTAAGCCACATGGTAATGTAGAAAGATGAATGTAAAATTATTTCATAATACAAACTGGCTCTGACATGCATTATGCCAATACAAGGGTATATAGTGAGTGAACAAAATTTCTGTTAATATCTATAGAAATTTTAATTGTAACATTCAATTTATAAAAAGAGTTGGGTAGTCTTTTTATATTTTAGGCAGATTTATATTTTATCCAAAAAAAATTTCTAATATGAACTTTTAATCAATTACTATTATCAATGGTAAATCTTTTGAGATATATTCAATGTAGTAAAATCGGCTCAGCTTGACAATGAAAAAAACAACAATCATAATGTCAAATTGAGCTAAAAGACCTTGTTAAGAGTAAACCTATGTTTAAATTCCTGTCAGCCATGAATTAAGTTTATATAGAAATTGAGATTACAAAATGTGTGTTTACAAATATGCATTCACATTTTCCTGTTCATTTTTATGCCACCGCAGCATCTGCGATGCGGTGGCATATAGCGATTCACCTGTGTGTGTGTGTGTTTGTTTGTGTGTGTGTGTGTGTGTGTGTGTGTTATATAGATTATATAGTGAACTTAAAAAATCTTCTTGTGAAAAACCAGTAGTCCAATTACAACCAAACTTGGCAGGATTGATCCTTGGGTGAAGGGCTTCCAAAGTTGTTCAAAGAATTTCATTCCATGCAGAAATCTGGTTGCCATGGCAACCAAAAGGAATTATAAGAACAAATTTAAAAAATCTTCTTGTAAAGACCCAAAAGGCCTAGAGCTTAGATATTTTGCATAAGGCATTGTCTGGTAGACCTCTACCAAGATTGTTCAAATTATAGCCCTGGGGTCAAAATCGGCCCCGCCCCGGGGTCATTGATTTTCACTATATGTACATATAGTAAAATTTTAAAATACCTTATTGTAAAGATCCAAATAGCCTAGAGCTTAGATATTTTGCATAAGGCATTGTCTGGTAGACCTCTACCAACATTGTTCAAATTATAGCCCTGGGGTCAAAATAGGCCCCGCCCCGGGGTGATTGTTATATAGATTATATAGTGAACGTAAAAAATCTTCTTGTGAAAAACCAATAGTCCAATTTCAACCAAACTTGGCAGGATTGATCCTTGGGTGAAGGGCTTCCAAAGTTGTTCAAAGAATTTCATTCCATGCAGAAATCTGGTTGCCACGGCAACCAAAAGGAATTATAAGAATAAATTTAAAAAATCTTCTTGTAAAGACCCAAAAGGCCTAGAGCTTAGATATTTTGCATAAGGCATTGTCTGGTAGACCTCTACCAAGATTGTTCAAATTATAGCCCTGGGGTCAAAATCGGCCCTGCCCCGGGGTCATTGATTTTCACTATATGTACATATAGTAAAAACTTAAAATACCTTATTGTAAAGACCCAAATAGCCTAGAGCTTAGATATTTTGCATAAGGCATTGCCTGGTAGACCTCTACCAAGATTGTTCATATTATAGCCCTAGGGTCAAAATCGGCCCCGCCCCGGGGGTCATTGATTTTCACTATATGTACATATAGTAAAAACTTTAAATACCTACTTGTAAAGACCCAAAAGGCCTTGAGCATAAGGCATTGTGTTGTAGACCTCTACCCAGATTGTTCAAATTATAGCCCTCCCGGGGTCAAAATCGGCCCTGCCCCGGGGGTCATTGGTTTTCGTTATATGTATATAGTAAAAACTTAAAAAAATTTCTTCTAGCAATTGACAAATGCTAGAGGTTAGATATTTTGCATGAAACATTGTGTAGAGAACCTCTAGCAAGATTGTTCAAATTATAGCCCTGGGGTCAAAATTGCCCCCGCCCGGGGGGTCATTGATTTTCAATATATACATATAGTAAAAAATAAAAAAATCTTATTGTCTGTAGGTACAAGGCTTCAAAAACTTAAAATACCTTCTTGTAAATGCCCAAAAGGCCTTACAGCTTAGGTATTAATGCGGTGGCATAGCATTTTTCTCAAATGCAATCTTGTTTCAGCATGTTAAACGTTATTAGCAAACAAGGAGCATCATCAGCCCAGGCATTTGGAACTGTTGGTAGGTATTATCTCTAAGTATTAATGTACATAAATGACTTGCAGTATGATCAACAGCTTTCATTAACCTTAACCATGCTGGAACTGAGAATGTTCAGTTGTTGATAGAACCATACCAGCCTATGTATCATTATATCCTGACCAGACTTCCCTCCCAAGCATTCATCACCCTTGTGTCCTCTCCCGTTTTCATAATAATGGAATCGGCTTGTCTGCCCTGAAGTCCGCCTGTTGGTTTTTCCTTGTCCCCCAAGAACTTAAGATTCCTTTGACACACAACCTTCATATTTGGAATTTAGATTGGTCATGATTAGTAGATGATCCCTATTGATTTTGAGGTCACAAGGTCAAACGTCAAGTTCACAGAGGCCTTGACCAAAAAGTTTGTCTGTCCAATAACTTCAGAAACCTTTGACCCACAGTCTTCATATTTGGCATGGAGGTTTATCATGACCATTAGGTGACCCCTAGTGATTTTGAGGTCACTGGGTCAAAGGTCCAAAAAAAGCTTTTCCACTAAATTGCGTAAGAGAACTTTGGTCAACAGTCTTTATATATGGTATTGAGGTTGTTTATGATAGTAAATGACCCCTATCGATTTTTATGTGACTGTGTCAAAGGTCAGGGTCTTAGGGGCCTTTACTATAATAAGCTTGTCTGCTCAAATGCTTAAGAATGCCTGTCCACAGTGTATTGATTTTGACACTTTAACATTTAAAGCGTGTAGAATACAATTAACTTAGCAGTGCACTGGCTTAGTGACCTCAGATTTGGCATGGAGGTTGTCCTGCCACTGTTGATTCTGACAAAGTGGTATGATGGGGTATTCACGCCATGACAGTGGCAGTTCTAGTTGGCTCAGTGCCTCCAAGGTGCTCTGCTGGTGTGACTGGGTTGTGTTACCGTTTCATGCTGTGAATGTCAGCTTGCCATGTTAATCTTTGTTTTATACTATTGATTGACCAACTAAAACTTTTCATCTTGATATGATGAAAAAATGAAAATTACAGTTCTGAAATCTGAAGCTTGAAAAATCCATCTAAGAAATTCAGGAGGTATCTTTCTCTCTGCTGGCATAATGCAACTAATCAAAAAAGTTTTGTTTTTATTTCTGTATTTGCAATGTATAAATCCACTTTGATAAAAAAACTGATCTCTAAAAAAGCCCATTCCTGTCTCAGAATCTGTTCAAGATATACATTGAACATCGAGTATAGAAATAGTGAATTTCATTAATTTGAATGTATTATTTATTTATAATTGTTAAACTTAAATATATATTCATATTCAACATTTGTTTGGTTTCAGCGTTTATGTACAGTGCAATAGACACAAGTTTATCATTATTGGGAAGTCATGATGAAGACTTGAATACAGTGATATCTGGAACAACAACAGGACTTTTATATAAATGTACAGGTAGGTTTCCATAGAAACAAGTATTGTGATAATTTGCTTTCAAACTCTATAAATAGACATTAGGATCTGGTGATGTATGCATAATGTAATACACAAAATTTTCTATTTAAGTACGTCTGTGTCATTTATAAACAGGTTTTCTGATGGTATAAACTGGCAATCCGATTGGCATGTGAACATTGTCCAACACTTCCTCTATTTCTCAGGGATGTCAACCAAACTTTCTCACTTTTTTTGTTAATAAGTTGCCTAATGCAGGTTTTTAGGTGTTTTTGTGATTTGGTCATTATATGGTTATATGAGAGCAGAATTATGACTTGTTAATTTTTTTTAAATAACAAAAAAGACCATTTCTGTGAAATCCTGTATCATATAATTTTAATGACAATTCTAGTTTGCTTTTAATAATGAAATTTTTGCCTTTGTACATTAATAAGTTCTTGTCTTTTTTTCTAGGGGGATTAAAAGGACTCCGTAAAGGTGGTGCTGTAGGACTTGGACTATCATTATTATACTGTTTGTCAACTAGTCCGCGGATATGGGCATCCTATTGAAAACATTTACAAGTGTTAAGTTCAGGAACAATGTTTTTACAAATGAAAGGACTCATTCTAGAGCAAGCTATCAATCATTCAATGTACTGGACACCATTGTTTGGACACCGTTTCGTACATCAGAAGCTATAAGTCAAGAGAGTTGCTGTCATCAATATAATATATAGGACCTAATCTATGGGGAAAAAATGACCTAGATATTATTTTGGAAGTGTAATATTGCCCAATGGGTTAAATGGTGTCTCTTCATCATTGTAAATCATTTTAGACTGATGATCATGATGATGTAGCAAAGTTGTATTATTTCTGATAAATGCTGATAAATTTTATTGTTTAATTATTTTAGAACTTTGATTTAAGATTCTAATAAAAACTGTTATAGGTAGAACATTGATTTTTAATCTTTCATATTGAAGAAATTCGCTTTGCTTTTGAGTCATTTAATGTTAACACATTTAAGAGTGAACATGGAGAATAAAATGAATATGCTGAATGCTATTACATGAATGGAAGATGAATGTTGTTTTAGCAATAAAATAAAATATGTGTTGGAAGTATATAAATTTGATAGAGAAGTAATTCAAAGCGTTATTCAACTATTACTATCATTACTTTTAATATGTTAATTGGAAGGTGGGGTAAGGTTTAATGAATAATTGGCTTTGATTGCAATCACTAAACTAAGAAATTGGTATAGGACATGCTTTATTATTTTGCTTTACCTAAGATATGTTTGATTCAAAGTGATAAGTCTTAAATTTTGACATCCCTAAAATCGGTTATGGGCTGTTCAAAAGTTGAAGTTTAACATGTCCATATAAGAAAATTAGCTGGTAAAGGGTAAAGATGTTTGCATTTTGATTTTGATTGTTACTATGTGATAAAAAAATTGAAGGAAATCATGAAAAAAAAAAAATACTAAAAATTAATTTTATAGGGGCTGTTAGTTATTTGGAATTGAATTTTTAAAACATTTTGTATATGATTCTCTAATAGATGAACATCAAAGTGTGTGTTTAGATATTTGAGATATTTCCTACTTTAGCAATTACTGAAATTGATGTTTTTATATGAAATAAAGTATTCAAGTATAATGTGTGTTATGTTTAAAGTAAATAAAGGAGATAATAATACATTTATTGAGGCAATTTTGTATGGCATGCAGTCTGTTGTTTTTCACCATGGATTTTACTAAATTATACCCAATTTTAATCTAAAACATATGTTCAAAAATGGCGTGGTTTCCGTTTTAGAATGATAAGTAATAGAAAGAGCATTGAAACACAGACTGAGGTTATCTGATTAGTTAGTTAATGTAAATCAGATTGCCGACTGTTTTGATGTTCTTTTTTATCATAAACAGAAATAAAAGCACGTTCCCTGTCATCACAATATGAAACCCCAGAAAAAAGTAACCAATGAACGAGCATCCGAATTTGACTTTCCTATTGTTGCCCCAAGAAAAAAAATGAGCCAATCAAGGAGCATGCTCTGAAGTGCGGGCACCTCACTTAACGCACTTTGTATGTGTATACGATTTAACTCTAAAACATTTTCAACAGAAAGGTCTCCAAACTATGATGCAACAGTAAAAAATTACCACCTATAAAATAAGAATACACTCCACATAATCGTCAACCCTGACGAGAAATTTGCCTATAACGAGGAATGCATGTAGATCTCTGACCTGTCTTAATTCTTAACATCAGAGAACAGGATACCATCATATTTGTTAACAAAAGAGCTATGTTCTCTCTCTCTATTGTTTTTCAAATTAAGGGTCAAAGTAGGGATCTATCAACATACTGTCCTGGTATATTTAATACACAGTTTTATTATTAGACGTGCCCTTTTGAAGCTGGTACAATTTTTTTTTACAAAATAACCCATACTAACGGCGTCATCGCATCGAATTTATTATACCTTTAATTGAGTACTTATACAAAACAGCCATATTCTTGTTATTGCATGTACATAAAATATGACAAAATTATTACAACGCAGAGCGGATGGTGGTGTATTTGAATTTAACTCCGGGCATTAGGGTCCTCTTCAATAAGTCTTTAGACCTACATTTTGTACGCAAAACCTGTTGCTCCCGTCTTCCATGATACAATACATCACAGTATAAGATAATACACAAATGCAATACAACACAATGCAAAATTAATAAATATACAATGTAAGTTTGAGCATGATTGCGAAATTATCACCATTTAGTAAGCTGAAGGAATCACAGCCTATTCTCAGCTAATCAGCACTACGTTCCTAACTCAGATCTAACTTTTCAGTTTGTACATCATTGTTGATAACAAAAATAATTTGATTTTTCTTTCCTTTTGTTTGCCTTGCCCATAAACATAACTATACGAGAAAGACATTCTATCATTTTGTTATACATGTATATTATTAACATGGTACTATTATTCCGGTTCTCAAGTGTAAATCAAGTAACGATACAAAATTTTACAAATTTACTATAGTACAAGTAGTAATAAACATATATTTACAGATAAATTATATAAGAAAAAACAACGTTTTTCTAAATTTTAAAGTGATAGGCTAATTAAATTTTGATTCAATTAACGTATCACAGGAACTTGAAATTCTATCAATATTAACGATATTAATATGCAAAATGTATACCCTCTTATAACATAAAAATTATTGATAGTATAGGTACATTTGGATGTTATCAAAAAATGTTAATATGGGTTATTCGATAGAATTTCAAGTGTTTATTTATAGTACATAGGGGGTATATATCAATTTTGGTTATTTGATAGAATTTCAAGTTCCTGTGAACGTATGGTGCTTAAAAACACAGCTGACTTGTGATGAACTTGAATTAATTTTCATAGAGTGAGCACATCTGTATTTATTGTTGAAAGATCGCCACAGCGTATCATTTGACCCTGTACATCCTACAGGGTAGTGGGTTTAAAAAATGGAAGTCTCGTTGATATTTAAAACTGTTCTCCTTTTGCTAGGTTCTGCGGTAATATATCGCATTGTGTTATATTTGTTGCATGTGAGGAGAATAACAGCTATATTCAAGGGAGCAAAGGGTCCAGAGAAATTTCACTGGCTTTTTGGCAGTGTTGTGCACGTAAGTTACATGTGCATGGATTGTATATTTTTCAAAGGATTTAAAAATGGAAGTCTCATTGATAATTATATTTAAAAACTATTTTGCTGGTATATATCTGCGGTTATATATCGTATTGTATCATAGGAGAATAACAACTATATTAAAGGGAGCAAAGGGACTTGTGCACGTAAGTTACGTAAGATTTTATATTTTTCAATACCACTTAAGCGGAGTCAGTGGCGGATGAAGGTTGACATGCTTTTTGTAAAGAAGGGGAGCAGAGATTTCTCTAGTTTATGCAAACATTATTGTTAGTTTGTTAACCAGCTACCACAGGGATAAGACGTTATATAGTATAATTATAAAACTTATACTATAGAGGCATCATGAAAATTGTGTAATAGTGGCATATTATTATTAATGTTATGAATACGAAATGTGAAAATTGACCTTAAATGTTATTTTTGGACTGGAGTGGGGTAGCGGTAGGGAAGGATGTCAGATCAAAGCGTCTTATTCATGTAATCAGACGTTGAAAAATGCTATCGGAGTTCAAGATACTCATCCTTAAATTGATTTTAAAGGGAGCATAATTTACATGTTTTAATAAGAGTGTAAACAATTATTATATCCATGCATTTTAACTAGCACCTTTCTTTCGAAAACAGATAGAACACTTGTTTATAGGTATACATGTACTGTGAAATTTATTATTATCTAATTCTGTAGGTGATCTTTATAGATAAAGTCTCTTGAAATGGCATCAATGTTAGCCTTACTTCTTAAACACAACTAATTATGAAATAAACACATTTATTTGTGTTCAGGATACACTTTAAAATAATCTAATTCGGTAGTCGATATTTGTAGAAAAAATCTTTAAATGTCAGATATTTTAGTCTTTAAATATATATATGAATTTAACACGTTACACACATGTTTGTGCACTACGCCTTCGCATATCATGTAATATGTAGGACATATACAGTGTGAGTGCAAAATATAGTGCATTGTATATATTTTACTGGAGCAGACGTCGAAAAAGTTCTAGTATTATTTTATCGATGAGTTTAAGATATTCACTACTTGTCATTTAATCTTTGGAAATCGAAGCTATAGATTAACGTCATGTTAGCAATATGCTACACATATTCTCAACAATTTGCACTTGTTAATGATCACGTAGGCCTATATAAATCATAAAGAGATAAAAACAATAAGCTTTGACAATATTATGACCAAACTTAAACCTGTCATTGTTTAATGTTCAATCTGGAAACAATTAATGAAGAATTATCTTGTTTAAGATAAGACATATAAGAAGATAAATATGTGATTGAAAAAATAGAGGTTTAACCCCTCGAAACGTTGGAGATAGAAAAAGTTTGTGTAGCAGATAACTATTAAACATTGTTTTATGGTCACTTATTACCAAGCAAATTATCCTACTTAAACCTATTTTCTATGAGAAGAGAGTATTCAAAAGAATTGCGAGCTATACAGTTGCCTCTAATGAAAACATGTAAGGAATAAGGTTTAGGTTCTTTCCAGTGGTAGTTGGCTGTCAAACGTGATAATTTTTGCGGGCGTTCTCGGGATGACAAGACATGTGCGCAACAAAGCCAAATTAGCCCTTGCACATGAGACAGAAACAGCTTTATTTTGAATCTGACGCAAGAGAGAAGTAGTGAGAAGCGCCTTAACAACCGATGAATATGATCCCTACCTGCATGGGGAAGGGGATGGTAACAGTAGTCGATGCTTTGGTTTACCGATCTCTGTTTGGAAATACATGTGCCAGCTGACAACTGAAAATAGTTTAGTGACAACCTGGAGCGAAAACCTTGGATCGATCTAGTCAACGGTTATAGCTCTGTTCCACATTTAATGTAGTTGACACAGAAGATAAAACAGCTCATGTAGCAGAAATGTTTTGCTGGATGCTGAAACACTACTTTGCAAACCTTATCTTTCCTTTCTCTATATAGACTTTTTCGCTACAGTTTGGCAGAAACTAGAGATTGGTATAGTAACAAAGATGCACTTTATAAGTGACTTTATTTTCTGCATATATGAATCTTACTGTAAAGAAAAAGGTTTCAAGGGGAAATAAGCACAACCTGGGTCACAAAAGCGCGCCAAGTCATTATGCTCCGTGGCAGCTGGGATAAGAAAGTGAAAGTGGTTGGTGTGAAGATGTATACAGCAAGAAAGTGGAAAGCTGAAGGAGTGAAGAAGCTGTAAGGGACGCAGAGTTACATCTCCGATTAACATAGTACTATCCTTTAGAAAGTGCAGTGCACAGATTGGGTTCATCATAATTCAAAATTTCACCATTTTTATGTAGAAACGTTGGATACGGATTAAATACTGTTAAAGGGCGTGGACGCGATAGCTTGCACTTACCACTACCGGTCGTCCACGGGCAGGCTCAGTCAACAAGAGCCTGCAGCACATTTAGTTTTACACTATTGGGATTTCTTTATAACCATTATCAGCTTTGTTAGTTCCTGTTTTAAGATCAATATTAATGATTTTAAAAGTGGCCTTCTAGAAAATTCTGACGTTTTATTTAATTGTACCCATGAAATATGTTCCGGCTTGTAAAAATATATGGAATTTTTATCATATTTCGTGAAAATATTTTCCATATTTCACTCAAACGAAAAATTGTCCTCTTATTATTTTTAATTCATTAATTTTACTTTCAATTACATGTATAGATAAATCTTTGCCAGATTGAATTTTTCCAGATGCGTAAATATGTCATACCAAGAATATTTGTACATACAATTATATAGTTCTGAATTTTAGTTCCGACATAATTACTTTGTCAATGCTTAATTTATGAGTGAATCATTTTGAAGACTTTCCGTCTAAAATTCTGTATTGTCGTCATTTTAAATTTCAGTTCCCTAAAGATGGACATGATCGAATGCAGTATTTCCTTGACATTTGTAATAAATACGGAAAGGAACAAGGCTACGTGTTGATATGGGGCATGTTTAAAAAACCACTCGTTATAGCATGCAGTCCAAGGATAATGGGGAAAATATTGAAAAGTAACGGTAAGATTAAGATTTTGTTATGTACCAGGGTTATCAAAATGGACCGATTAACCGGCAAAGTAGAGCCGATCGATACTCTGGTACCCTGGTACATGCCCTACTCAAACTTTTACAAATTTACTTTTACAAATTTATCTACATGTAGTTTGTAGTGTTAGTGATAAGAATTTAATGTTGTACGTGTAGGTAGAGGCTTGTAATTAAAATTATACTTATAAGGCGGAAAAGTTATTGTCATAATTAAGTAGGCCATATTACTAAATATCGCTGTTCAACATTGGAACAGACGACACATGTGTATTAAAATAATACATTTCAAGGTTACATTTTACCAGTGTAAACAATATTGTATATCAAAATATATGTTTATATTTCATGATTTCATTCTAGTCATGAAAATTTTCATCGCGTCAGACTACAGTATAGATTTCGCAATCCTATTGTTCCGTTTCCGCTAGAACATGTACATGTAGTAAGTGGTTCTGTACAATAATGCACACTGAATTTAAATAAAAAAAATAGCGTTGAATGTGAAATAAGTGCAAGATATAAACGCAGTGGTATTTTGACTTTCAAACAAAATAATTATCAGTTACCTACCATAGTAATATACATGTCAAACATTTATATTGATGCATGCATAGCAGTTATTTGCAAATTGACAAATACATATTCCCTCATAACATTTTACAGTGACATATGCCCATCCAAGTGTTGGGTGGACAGGATAATGTCAAAAGAACTTAAATTTTGCCACAATTGCTTCCAATTTAATAATCTAGTTCAGAATAAATTCTTATAAAAGAGTGGGACAGTCTTTTTTATATTAAGACAGTTTTTACATTTAGTACTTCACCATTTTTATTAACAATAACTGGTCAATGACTATTATAATAATCGTTATTAAAAAAAAAAATGGTAGCCCCCTTTTTGACTGCGGGGTTGCGTGCAGGAGTTGAGGTCATCGTTTATCCCTGGGTGATGGTAAGAGTTGAAATTACAGATACATTAATTAAAGACATTTTGTCAAGGAAAATTGATGATACTTATTTTGCTTAATTATTGCGTTGTGTAAGGTGAACATATGTATAGCTGACTGAGACGTAATTGTTTTATCTTTCAATATTTCAAAAAAAAATATCCTACACTGGTAAATTTGTTATATATTACCTTTCTTGCGATATATTTTATCCTGTTTTCATCTCCGACTATATTTGTTATAAAGATAAAAGTTTAACAGTTTGTATTTCGGATTTCAGAGCCAAAATCAAGAGGGTTTGTCGGTTTATATCGTCTCTTGATGCCATGGCTTGGCGAAGGTTTACTTGTGGCCAATGGAGAAAAATGGGCGCGAAACAGACGTCTGCTAACCCCTGCCTTCCATTTCGAGATACTGATGCCTTACGTGAAGGTGTTCAACGAATCGGCGGACATACTTGTGGTATTTCTGAAATTATCCGCGTCACGACAAAACCAACATAATGGGTTTGCGAACAGCATGGATCCAGACCAGCCTGCGCATCCGCGCAGTCTGATCAGGATCTATAATGGGTTTGCGACCAGCATGGATCCAGACCAGCCTGCGCATTCGCGCAGTCTGATCAGGATCCATGCTGTTCGCTTACAAACCCTTTTACAAGTAGAGAAACTGATAGCGAAAAGGATGGATCCTGATCAGACTGCGTGGATGCGCATGCTGGTCTTGATCCATGCTGGCCGCAAACCCATTATGTTGGTTTTGTCGTGACGCGGCTCAAATGGTTTCCGAAACAAGTTATTTTGGCCAATTTTTATGTTCTACATGTACATGTACCTATTTAACAACAGTCGTTATGTCACTTATTGCTTTGTTTATCTATTACCTATCTCAAACTAATTTCGTTTTTTACACCCCACCACATTATCTCGAGGAGGAGGGATATATATTACTTTGCACAGCGCTTGTCGGTATGTTTATAAAGCTCATATTGTCTGACTTATAACTATTGAACGCTTTTGCCTACAGTCCAGAGATTTTATATTATGATTAGCCATTAATTGTTGATCGAGTCGCTTGATTTTAGGCCAGTCGGTCAATGTTCAAAACATGTCTTGACCACTAAAAGTTGAACCAGTAACTAAAGAACGCTTGGCAACAGTCATCAGATTTGTTGTATATGGTGTTATGACTAGAAAATGACTCCTATTAATTCAGTCATTGGTCAATGTTGCGCTAGTCTTTGCCAATAACAGGACAAGGGTTTGGCCTGCAAGACAAGAAATTAATGTCGAGGGTGGTTATGACTAGTAGATGATTTTTGGTAAGTCAGTACAAATCAATGCCATCGCGCTCTTGACCGCTTAAACATGTTAAAGTTGTCCAAACAATTACTAGAGAACGTTTTGCTCAACAGTCCTCAGACTTGGTGTTGAAGTTGAACATTTCAGGTAGATGAATATTTTACGGTTTTGGGAACAATGCACCAAAATTAAAGTTTTTAAGAAATAAAAAGGAAAGCAAAGGGGGCTCAACTGGCTTTAAATTAACATTTGAGCCGCGCCATGACAAAACCAACAGTGGCTTTGCGACCAGCATAGATCCATCCGCGCAGTCTGATCAGGATCCAAGCTTTTTGCTATCAGTTTCTCTTCTTGTTATATGGTTTGTAAGCGAACAGCATGGATCCTAATCAGACTGCGCGGATGCGCAGGCTGGTCTAGATCCATGTTGGTCGCAAACTCATTATGTCGGTTTTGTCATGGCGAGGCTCATTTAATTAATAAACCATTTGCCTGCTGGTGGCAAGATTGTGACTACTGTAGACTGAGATCAGCCGGTTGGGATATTCGTTATGTCTGATCATTGTTTACATTGTTGCATATTCAGTCATTTCTTAAAAATGTGAATAGTTTTGTACAAATTGAAAAATTGACGTCCCTTTTTAAAATACATAGCGTTATAAGGGTTAAAATACATAGTTGTGTAAAAAGTTTTTCTGATTATTATTATCATTAGCGTGCGTAGGCAAATTATCTACGAATGTTGTATGTAGCATTTTATACTCATAAATTATTAAACACAAAGTTAAAATATTTGCGCAAATAGTTCACTACAATTTCAGGAAAAGTTGACAAAAAAGGCGGAAGAAGGCAAAAGATTTGAGGTATTCAATGAAGTATGTTTATGTACGCTGGATAGCATGCTGAGATGTGCATTTTCATACACGAAAAATGTGCAAACCGCAGGGTATATGACTGTTTAATATTTTAATTTCTTAAAACAGTATTTAAGTAATTATTAATACATTTGTAAATTAACATAGCATTGAAAAAAAAAAAGATAATTCAAGTACTGATTCTTGTAGCTATTATACAAGATTACTTCCCTTGATCCTATTGTATATCGAAAACAAGGCAAATGAGTATTGACATATACCATTTGGTTTTGTTTAACATAATTTATATTTATTCTTAAGTGTCCCGTGTTATTAGCCTATGTGTTATTTATATACTGTCCCATAATATCTTCAAGTATAAAACTTGAATAACCATTTGTTACGTTTTCGTCTCTAAAACATAATGAAGGTATCCCTGCGACTTTTCGCTCCGCACCCCTTCCATTTAAACTTGTTAATTCTCGACTTTTCGATTGGCGGGGTCGCGGGGCGAAAACACGAATTGCACAAATCAGCCAAGATATGAAGCCAATCTCCAATGTATACCCCTTACGGATTTTTTACTTTAATACTCTTATTATAAAAAATTGTTTCAAAAAAATCAAAATATGTTACCGGAGTGTGCATCATATTTCGGGTTTTCTATATTAACTGATACATTTTTGATTTCAGAGAGACAAATGAGTATGTTAAAGCAGTGAATCGTTTAACTTGTAGAGTCTTCGAAAGATTTCTGTAAGTTCCTTTTTTAATCCATGATTTCATCATTATGATAAGCAAGACAAAATGGCATATGATTACGTCCGAAAACACGTTGCATCCTTTTCAAAACTTTATTATTCACTTTTATGACATGCAGTTTCCTTGATCTTGATATCGAAGCAAGTGTTGTTATGTTATTTCTGTAATTCTAATACTTATCGTTGAAAACATCTGAATTCTGTTTATATGCGTATTGACCTTTATATTAAAAAAAATAAATGACAAGACTTAACAATGACCCCTGTGATCATGTATTTTAGACTCATAAATGTCAAAATTGAGCAGAACTTTAAATATATACAGTGCATAGTAATTAGCGAAATGTATAGATTCAGAAATCTGAAACTTATTGATGATTTGATAATATTTATCATTTCAAATATATACATGTATATAGTATATTTTGTTACAGGAAGCCAATTTTGTTGGTTGACTTTTTTTGGAATCTTACTAAAGCCAGTCGACAGTATAAAAAGGATTGTGAATTTGTTCATACAGTGTCAGAAGAAATTATTGATAAGCGTCAACTTGAACTGGTAAGTTATTTTACATGTTACTAGGATAAATATATAAATATATGTCACCAGAATTGCAATAACAGTGTTTCGGTTATATCTTTGGTAGTTAGCATACCGGTTTAACGCTGTACTATTCCACGAGGCGATTGCGTCGGTTTTTTGTACTAGATTTGGAGATTTGGCTTTACACTTACCTTGTCAAGGTTTACCTGCAAAATGTTGTTCATATCTTACATGGGACACATTTTAATTGGCTATTCAAAATTGTATCAGTTCATGTTAAATGTTGAAGTCTGCTTAAGCCGGTGCTAGGGGGGCGTGGACGGTAGTTTGCACTTGACAGTACCGTCCATAATCAGACTCAATTAAAACAGAGCCTGCAACATTTTCAATTTTGCCGTGTTGGGCTTTCTTTAGGGATTGTTATTTTCTCTATTTTTTCAAGATATAAAATTCTAGCATAGATTTATCCCTTTTCTCAACTACTTCATATACAATCTTAGCTCAGATATACCCCATATACAATATATGATGGAGATCTGTGTTACTCTGTTGTCCGCGCCAAAATTTTGTCTAGATATATAACCTTAACTCTATCTTCTTTTTTCAAAGGGACTAAATTTAAATGCATAAAATATACGTTCCATACATTCCAAACGTTATATGATTCAAGTACATATTTTCAGAATCATATTCCCTTTATATTTTACAACAATTTCTTTATTTCTTTCGGGATATACTTCAAATGACAAATACATATGTATTCAATATCACCACCCCATTTTCCACTGTTTGTGAATATGTGATCTAAGGTTCATAACTTAAGCTACCATGTTTTAGCTTTATCTCCACTTTAAATCTTTTATTAAGAATGTTTTATCTTCTAATTTACGTCATACTTCGAATACATAGTCCTCATCAAAACCACAGCATATTAATGGATAAGGTTCCTATCTCTTTCAAACATATTTCTTTCCAAAATTATCTCCCGTTTAGATAATAAGGCTTTTTAATGTTTAAAACTATTTGTTGCGGGATTTTCACCAAACTTCAGATGCATGTTCTATATCATCTGCCATATCAAGCAAATAGTTCATAACCCAGCGTCTATATTTCATAGTTATCTCCTCTTAAAACTTAAAGTTGAACTTAAACTATTTACAGACTCTAACTATTTCTTAGTTTACACTATGGATTTACTGTGCATACATTTTTGGCTGTCTTTTTCATTTCAACATAGACATGCCTGTTGATATTTTTTTATGTTTTAATGTCATTGATATGTTTGCAATATGTTGTGAAAAAGTAATAGCCATTTAAGTCTGATCTTAATACTGAACAAGCAATAAAGTTATTACAGTTGTATAATGAATTGTTTTTGATAGTTTTATTTTTCGTTTTACCGCTGTACCCTATAACACGTCTTGAAACTTGAAACATATACATATATGTAAGCGAATGTATTCAGGTTACTGACCAAACGTTTTATCTCTTGTATGTAAATAACTTAAACTTATGATTACTTATGAACTAAGAAAATATAGTTTACGGTTTGGCTGTCAAATAACCGAGAAAAGTTAAGCGTTCTATTTTTGGAATAACATGTTTCAAAATGCTTTTAGCAGTTCAATTCTACAATATCTTATTGTATTAGTCGTTCAAACTGTGTACTTTTACCGTTGGATATCCATTAAATATAACTATTAAAGTCACATTAACACCTTAAAGCTACGATTCTCAGGTTGGGAAATGTTTTTGTTTTATTTTAGAAAATAACATTGTTGATTAATACAAGATATTCAGGCGTACCCAAACTGAATTACTGACATAGTACATGAAACAACTATTTTCAGGAAACAGGAAAGCCCGAAGAGCGACGGTATGTTGACTTCCTGGACATTCTTCTGAAGGCAAAGGACGAAGATGGCAACAAACTTACACGATTAGAAGTAAGGAATGAAGTTGATACATTCTTATTTGAAGGTAAGTCAATTGAAAAAAATAGGGGTATAAAAGAACACTGAGTACGCTACATAATTATGATATATCTGCCCATAAATAGTATATACTTCTAACTTGCCGACTAGGGGGTGGGGGAAGGGAGTTGGGGGGTCACAACATGAGTTAACTACACTTTAAAGACAGACTATTAAATTTATTAATGCAGTAGGAAACATCACGCGAAAGACTTTCTTTTGACTCCATAGATAAAGGATATTTTATAAAACCTAATAAACCTTTAATTTATTCAAAGGTCATGATACGACAGCCAGTGCCATTTCGTGGATACTTTATTCCCTTTCGGAAAATGACGAATGTCAACGGAAATGTCAAGAGGAAATAGACGAACTTTTAAGAGACAGAGATAGCAACGATATTGAATGGTAAGGTAATTGATGATTACAAAGAAATTATATTTATTGGTGTTGTTTTTTTCATTCTTGACATATAAATTCCTCGTTGAAATATGTGCAAGCATGATTAACTCATGGTACGACATCTACTCTAAACATTCTTGAAATATCGCATTTGATTATCTCTGCCCGAAGATTTTGCAAATATGAAATATATTGTAGGTCAGATTTGGGTAAATTGGAGTATCTCACGATGTGTATTAAAGAAGGAATGCGTCTTCATGCACCAGTACCGATTGTCAGTCGTGATATAGAACACGACTTTGATCTTGGTGACCGTATTGCACCTAAAGGGACACTGATTCAGATCAACATTTGGGCATTGAATCACATGGAGCATATATGGGGATCTGATCATATGGAGTTCAAACCAGAAAGATTCTCAAAAGAAAATATTGACACAATGGAAAATTTCCAGTTCGTGCCATTTTCAGCTGGACCTAGGTAGGTAAAGCATGTTCCATAGAAAAAGAAATAATCTAATGATAAACCGCATACAGTTGTTGTACATAAAGTAGAGTGAATTTTGCATATTATCTCTTCCAGTGCTTCGCTTGAAAATGTACATAGTTGGGCTACATGTATTTAATTGATAGTAACCCCATTTTCGGAAAGTTCGTTCCTAATGCTTGCTTCGAGTCTTGATTCTTAAGAGACTTACTCATTAGTCTTTCGACGATTTCAATGATTGTCATTTCATGATAAAACTGAATTTGATATATTCGACATCAACGTGTATGATATTTACATGATTTAGAAACAAGGTGTATGTAACTGACCAGATAAATTTTGTTAGTGTAGTGAATATTGTAACATAGTTGTTTCATCCTGCTACATTAGTTACCGAGTCTAATCAGACTTTGAACGCTTTTTATGCAATAACGCGGCCTTGCTGCCATACGTTATATAGAATAAAAGCTAAAATTCAATGGTGAATTAAAGAAAGGCAGAGCAATTTTGACCGGAAAAAGAAATGATAAAAAAAGCATTACTTATATTTATGTAAATTGAATCATTTCACTGGCTCCTTTTTATAATACACAAATTTTTTTGTATTTGTTATTCTAGGAACTGCATTGGTCAGAACTTTGCAATGAACGAACTTAAGGTGGTTCTGTCAAAACTCCTAAAACAGTAAGTCACTTTAAGGAGACTTCTCATGCATATCAAGAGGACATGGAATGAGTGTAGGCTCATTACTTATATTATTGAACGAATTGAAAAAAGCCAGACTTTAAGTAAAGCTTTACAGATAAAACTAGACGAAATACTTTTGTTTATCACATATTTTTACGCTTTGTTTGCATACTGTGCTGAAAATAACGTCACGTAATATGCACGGCCGTGCAATTCCGTTTTAAGGAGTCTCAAAGGCGACAAGGGTATGTGATTAACAATGTATATGGAATATCATATGTAGTTAACAAGTTTTTATTAATATAAAAGTTCTAGTTTCAATTTGTAATAGGTGGTACACAAAAACATGAGCGTATTTGCAATGAACCAACCAGTGAAAGGTCTATGTTTCAATTTAGATAATTAAGTCAATTTCAATGAAATAGATAGTTGACAACTATATGTTTATTTCAGTTTTACATTTCGTCTGGATACAAGTCACGAAGTTAGGAAGAATCAAGCGGCGGTAATGAGAACAGAAAATGGAATGTACATGTTCGTTGACAAACGACGTGTCTAGGCATGCAACTGTTTTGCTGTATATAAGAAGATTATTGGCTGTTAAATGATAAGACACGAAAAGAACATTATTTTCTTTTTTTGTATAATTAGTTTTGAAAGTTTGTGAAATTTTGAAAAAAGAAAGGAAAATGATTTATCCTGTTGTAAGATGCGCGTTTCAATCAAATTTGCCGTAAAAGATGCTATTAAAGATCTGTATTCAATAAACTTATATAAACTTTACTACTTAATCTCATTTGGTACCGTTCCAATATCTGTTTAATTTAACAAACAAATAACACAAGTGTTACTGTTTTAGCATTGTATTAACTGTATGCTAATTGGTAATAAGTACATGTATAATCAAATTAATTTATATTTTTATTATCAGTATAACGACAAAATATTCATTACTTAAAAAATAGCAAAAAGTTAAAGTGTATTAAGCTATTTATATCTGCAAAAAATCATTGTTTTAATTTAAAACAAAAAACTTCCGAAATAAATATGGTAGGTAATTGCCTTTAAAAAGGGAATGACGCATGCACAAATCATTGCTAAACGGATAAAATCCTACTAAAATAGCAAAAAAAAAAATTGTTTCCAGAACATTTCATTCTGTTTACATACATTATCCATGTATATGAATAACAGAGACATTCTATGTTACAACTTTTTTCGGGAATCAACCATATAATAATATAATGAAACCACATAATTTTACTGTTGATAACTCCGTACTTCACTTTACAAGATCGTATAGAGTATAAAGATGATATATAAACAGTTGTACATGTACAGCCATTCTCCCATAATTGAAGCACTTTTGGTTCACAAAAAATGAAAAATCTGACTTTCATAAACAACGTTTTCTATGATTTGCTTTTAATGTTCAATACCTTGGACAGATTGTGTGGAAGTTTAACACACACCATTCGCTCCGTTTGTATACTGAAAGCGTTTGAAGTGAGTTACTGAATTACATTGTTACGGAACATATATATACCATAGGAATTACTTTGGAATTATTGTTTAACTAACATTTTAAATTAAACAATCCGAAAGAATATGCATTGTAAAGTTGAAGACCAATGGTTACCTTAAGCAAAAATATTTCATGTCATATCTTATTCTGAAACTTGTATACTTCGTATTTGAAAAGCTTGTATAAGCAAATATTTTCGTAACTAAAGATTGACATTATTTCGATACAATGCACAAACAAATACTGTCATAAAAGTTATCGAATTATATCTAAAACAGAAGCAGAAAACAAATCAAACATAACTTTTAATCGGTGTAACGTTCCCAAAAAAACTTCGCTGCACAAATGTTCATCAAACAGTCCTTATGATCTGTTACGGAACATAGGTGAAAAATTATAAAACATATTAGGATTTATAACTCAATATTTTTACTCTTTAAAATTACTTTAACAATTTAAATGTGGTATCTTCACAAACAACAATAATCATAAAACACTGTATCAATTAAAAATAACATCAACAGTTTAATTTAGTGAGTAGTGCAGGAAAAGATATATAATACGGAACATATGTTATGGAAAATAAAATATTATGTTTTTCACTGAAAATGAACAAGAATTTTTTTTCTTCACTTTTATTTGCTTTATTTCTGCCTAATTTACACAAATTTGTTGTAATGTTATAATGTTTCATGTAGTTCTCTCTACATTTTCTTCACCAGTGCTTTTTCTTTTTTGAATGGGAACATACTTTTTTCTCCTTTCTTTCTCTTTTGAATGATTTGTTGTTTTCCCCTCTCTGCTTTTGTCTTTTGTATTTCTGTATTTAAAAGCACCATTCTACACAAGAAAATCGTTGCATATTATAAATTTATTAACCTTGATACATGATCATCATTAAAATATTATTTTTATCATGATTATCAATATAACAATTACATAATAATCATCATTTTTATCATTATTACATTAATATCATTATTAATATTACTTTTTTCATGATAATTGTAATTCTAAAACTTTTAGATAATGTAAGTGACATAATGATACAATTTTGGTATTTTATAAATAGTAAAAAACATAAAAAATCATATTCAAACATAGCATTTATGAATGCTATGCTCCGTAACAAATTTGAAATGTTCCGTAACGGAAAGCTGCAACCTTACAACACAATACAAATCATGTTAGACTTCCAGTTAATATTGGACACCATTTTCGTATATCTTTATAATGAAAAAACTCACTGGAACAGTTTTTGTAAACAAACTGAATATATGTATTATGGTGCTGAAAAAAGATGATAGAAAACTATGCTTCCGTAACAAATTGTCTTTGACTATTTGATAAACTGTGCACTAATTTTTCATCGAAAAATGTGTTCCGTGTTTGAAACCAATCATTCATTTCAAATTGTTAAATAACTAAGGATAAAGTACATATATGACATCAGATTATGATCTCAAAATAATTAACTATGTTCCGTAACAAATCTTTTAAACAGGTAAAAAAAATTAAATAGCATCAACTTGCTACTTTTGACTTTGTGGTTTGCTGAAAATAGAGCTTGCAATCGATTTTAATCAGTAAAATTTCTCATGTAAGTAACATAATTGTGAAAATATCGTTATCAAATCAAAACCACTGGTTGCCAAAATAAAGTACAGTGACTGCCAATTACCTCCATTTGCCCAATTGTATCATAAAAGTCAATTAAGATGTTGCATTCATACCTCTTAGTGAGTAACTACAGTTAGTTTTAAATTTAGTATTTTTTATATAATGTGCAACAAAATACAATGTTCTACTTAAACATTATGTAGTGTGGCGTACATATAAGATGGAAGAATGGTATTTTGTTGAAAAATATACAATATGAATATATCATGTCAATACTGAATATGTTAAAAATAAAGTTGCTTGTATTTCATGGCTTTTTACAATATGCAACTCTATTCAATGTTAAGATTATGTAGTGCAGGGTATAAATATTGTACAAGAATTGTATTTGCTTTAGTGTATACATTAAGATAAAGAATGTATGAGTGCTAAAATGATTCAATGTTTTTTTCATTCTTAAAGGAAATACAATGTATTGTAGATAGTTGCTTAAAATACTCATTTCGTATTTTGTTAAGATATTTATAAACATGCAGTAGAGATATGATATATTATGGCCTTTATATTAGGGTTTCGGCATTAAAATTGCAGCCACCGTATTTGAAATATCCTGATTCAGTTGTAGATGAATATTTGAAAGCATGGTCTAGCAAATCTCTATTTGTTTCCTTTAGTTACATCATCAACGTTTGGTTGTTTACCTTAGAAGTCAAGATATGATTAATTCTCCATAATCTGTCCTTTCTGACGATCTGGGAAAGTGGCATAAATGAGAAGAGTTTGTCTAAATAGTCTATCCAAGACTAATACATTCCAGGTTTGCATACATATATCTACACCCATATCAGTTGGTTAGATGACCAAAAATATTTGATAACACATCAAGGTTTATTTTGGTTAAGCGATGAAATGTTATTTTGTACCCTCATCGTCTCCCTCCTACTGGTTGCCAGTAATCCTGTTTCACTTCATAATCAATAATATTTATGAAAATGCGTTACTCTTTCGTTCATTTTTGCACTTACATATGTTTTTGTTGTCAAATTATATTACTTCTGAAACAGTAAGTTTATTTAATTTTGTACAGGCAAACACGTGTATATAGTTCAGATGTACTATGTCTGGGTGGTAATTTAAACCTGTTTGACCTTCAACCAAACCATAATATTACAAGGTAGTGTACAACAACTGCGCAAAAGCACACATTTACAGCAAAAGTCAAATACCTTGCGTGCTGAAAACTTTGTTTGTTATATTTGTAAATTCAAATATGCTTGATCACGCTATTGAAATATCAATTCTACAATAGTTTGATAATGATAAATGGATTGAATAGTAATGAAATCGTCCTAGAATAGACTTCTTGGTGTGTTAGATCAATCTCAAGATGATGTCAAAACTTTGACCCACGACACCTGGGTTGCTAAACAAACGTGTTAAATCATCAAGGGGCTCTTTGTCATAAATAATGGTCGTCAAGTTATAGTACCGACTAAGATGACTTCAAATTGAACCAACTATTTTAGATATCACAACAATCCTTTCCTATCTGAAAGACTGCTGGTCCCCAGATTACAAACATAACGTTAAAATTGATATGATACTATCTTGCGACATATACCGGAACTGTTGTGGCATTTAACGGTAGTCGAATGTATTTCCATATAGACGTATTCATTTTTATTTGCCTTAAGGTAGGCACGTGTAAAAAGTTCGATTGCACTTGAAAAACAGAATAACCTTAAGTGTATGCAGTTCGAGATATTTTTAGCAAATATCTTTTATGCAAGATGTAGACTGTTGCGTTTCAAGTTTATGTTTTGCCTTAGTTAAGACACATTTATCTATTTAGGTTATACCTTCTTTAAGCTCACACATTAGTATCTGATATTAGCATCTTGATTCAAACTTGTTTGATCAATGCATAAATATCAAACTTTACTAAATTAAGATATGTTTTGCGTATTATTTAAACTACAGTATTGTATGGGTTGATTTTATAGTTATCTGATTGTCAAGTTAATGGAAAGAAAGAGATTAAAATAGCATGCATTTGGTAAACATAACAAGGACATCAGAATGTCAAACATATGTTTATGAAGACATACCAGACAGCTGTTTTGAACCTTTTATATTTAACCTTGAACAAAACAAACAAGCTTTGCCTTAGAAAAACAGAATACGTTTTTACAGGTATCTTTTATATATATCAAAGATATAGGCGAAACTTCAAGTGACATTGGGCCCATTTTTCACTGTCGTGTTGAATTAGTAGTATACTTCAAAAGAAAGACTATTTTGATGGTATTTGACCAATTGTTGATGATGAAAAATGATTGAAATATAAAAACCTAAATTATAAAAAAGACTGCTATACACTTTTATTTTTTTTTAACGTTTAACGTTACCGATGCATTCGGAACAATAATTAAAGACCGTTGGTCATGTTGACTATTAATCATTTTTGCATGACAAAATTTAAAATTGAACACAATTATGGCAAAACGTAAAGTTATTTTGATCACCGGGTGTAAATGGGCATAATGTCACTGTCAAATTTCAAATTCTAGTTATCATTAATTGCAAATCGGACATCGTTTGTCATTTTCGGATTTTTTACACTAGTCTTAATGTAATTGTTGAAATGTATGATAAAGCCTTATACGTTTACAATGATTTTTATTTTTATGAATTGGAAGCATTGGAACTTTTATCATTTTAATGCTCTTTCATTTAGTTAATATTGAAGTTTGCATAGTACTGTAAGAAAACAAGTAAACCTTCATGGATATACTCGTATTTTTAAATCTAACCTTAATCAAAAATAAATAATTGTAAATACTAACATCTTAACAAGTGTATTTGAAACACTTTTTTTCCTTACGGTGCATTCAATATTATGATGAATGCATTATGTTTACGTGAATCAAGTGTGGTAAAGTACTAGTGCTATTCACGTCAATTATATATTTCTAAGGATATTGACGGTAACTAACGAACGTTTAATCGTTTTATATGAACATACAATCAAGTTGGCATATATTACTGGTTTTCATTCATATTTGTTTTCAGTTGTGTACTCGCGTATTAGAAGCTAAGCACCTGTAGTGTTAATTAAAACAAAGTACACTGATCTCCTTACAGACACAGTGTAATTAAATGGTATAAACTATCAGATATTAAAACATTCATTTGTGGAAAACAGTGTACAAGGATTGTTTCATATCGCATGAGCCAATTAAAAACGTCGAGTTGTATTATTGAACAATTAGGGCGGGGTCCACCACTATGACGTAACTGTTCTCTGACATTTATAAGAACAAACAATTTTGCGCATTTTAATAAGATCGGTATTGTTTTGATAAAAGCATGGCAAAAGCTTTAGCGAACAAGAAGCCGAGATACACACCGACATCACACATTTTTAACATTATTTCAAGAGAGAAGGAAAAATCGTTTACACAATTAGATCAAGTAGAGACAAGGGATTGCAATGAAAAATTTACAGGCATTAAGGAATCTGCATCGCCACATTGTACTAGAGTCGAAATAGCAATTGTCATAGTAGTTCTGTGTGCTAGGTCTGATAGCAGGGCTTGCTGTCGCTCTCACAAAAAACAAAAACGACGATGGCGGAGAAAAGCAGACAAGAGGTATGTTTGGCACCTGGTACAAAAATATTAACAGTTTGAAGCTTGATTAAAAATTTTGATTTGATTATTTCAATTTATCAAATAGATACTGTGTACATAACCTTATTCAAGATAAGTCACTTTAATTGATAACATAGATAATACACTTTTATAATTTATTATTTATTTACACGGAACCACCGTGACGGAATGATTAATGTTGCTAATTTTGAACAACTGGCTCTTTATCGCATTACGGTGGGTAATGAATGATTAATCATAATATCCAGTTAAACTACTAACAATGATCTTACTCATGTACTCGCTCTTGGTATATGCACAGAAGGGGATTTGATATCTTCCCCCACCAATAATGCTGAGAAGTTACAAGAAGACACTTATTGAATTGTACAAATTTCATAAAGAATACATCTTGACATTTAAACCAGCGACTCAATAGATTCAAAATAAAAAAAAAACTGCTGTCAATTTTCAAAATTCCGGATGATTTCGTAGCAAGCATTGAAATGTTCTTACGCAATCTCATTGGGTTCTTTAATCTATATATTTTGAACTTCAATAAGGGGAATTACCGTTAACATTACAAAATGATAGATTTTTATTATTTAATATCTTATCCACAAATAATTTAAATTTGCTTGCTTGTGCGAAGGGCAATTAAAGCTGGAATATCGCCATATCACGACCTTTGCATTGTCGGGATAGCACAACAACAAATCACTGTATGGATACTATGCAAAGTTGTTAAATCATTATTTTATTAATGTTTGTGTGACAAAATAAACGTGCGCATTTAGAAGTGGAATAATCCTTTCTTATAAGGAATATTCTTCATTCTTAAAATTAATATAAGTTTGAGTGACTGTGATAATTTGAATGAAAATATACAATAAAGTATTATTAAAACAAATTTAAATGAACCAGTTGTTGAAACGTAATCACGAATAAAGGAGTTGGATAATAATTAATTTGTTATTTAAGGCAATACAATTAATTCCCACATTTTAACGTATAAATCAAACAAACGAGACAGACATAGAGCGGTAATTTACATCATATTATATTTTAATATTTTAGATTGTCCTCAGAATTGCAACATCGGATCAAGTGATGCTAGGTGCAACTTATGTTTTTGTGAAATAACTGGTAGAGTGTATTCTGTGTCAACTGGTAATCCATTAGGGAATGTAACTATTGATCCGAAATCCGAACCGACGACAGTTCAGCTTGCACTAAGTAATCTTACAGGACATTTTAGCTTGAAAACTAATTGTACTCCATCAAAGCTTTATGTCTCGAAAAAGGGCTATGTTGATACAGCAATAGATGTTAGCACTTCTTACCTTGAGATACATATGCCGAAGATAGGTAAAATCAATAATTTCGAAAAATTAATTGCAATTCAAGAAGTTTATGAAATCATCTTTTTATAATGTTATAGTTTAAAGTAAATATTTGAATGAATTGATAAATTAAACCAATGAATTATTGACAAATGAATATAATATATTCAATTTATGTTTTTCTTTGATTTATTTCCTTTTCCAGAAAGCATATGAATTATGAAGCCAATGCGAAAGTTTTATGTTGTCCAAACTTGTCTGATCTATGTTTATTACTGAAGGGAAAACTGTGGTTATTTTGAGAAAAATATTTTGTTTAGAAACTGACGTCAAAACTTCCCGCCGATACCGATGCTAATTTACTTATTTTTCATGCAGTTAAACCTTATCTCGTTGAGACGCCACAATCGAAGTACAGATTGATAGCGGAAAATGTTACGTTTTGTTGCAAAGCATTTGCAAATCCAGACATTCACTATTATGAATGGTAATTTTATTCAACTTATTAGTTGGCATAACTTTAAATATTTTTACTTAAACACTCTTTAACATAACTTAATAAATATTAAAATTAAAACATTACATTTTGTATAATGCATTTTTTTATGTAAACATCAAGAAAGGTTTTACAGCATACAATTGAGTTTAAAGATTAGCAGTACTTGAAACTTCTTTGAGTAAATGACTTACTATTGCAGGTTTAGAAATCACTCCAAACTAGATAGCCATGTTTATCCGAATCAAACACAACTGTTTTTGACAAACTTGAGTAAGTCAGATAGCGGGATATACCAGTGTAAAGCTTACAGTGATACAGGAGTTATAATGTCTGAAGTTGCAAAATTAAATGTAAAAGGTACATTTTAACCATAATTATTTTATAACATGCCAATTTCAATGAAGTGTTCAGATCTATTTAAGTTATTTCTTGCATGTAGATCTCAATATCATCGTATTTGTTTCGCCTGTAGTGTGATTCGGTTTTCACGGGAGAGCTATTTTAGCGTCCTTTAAAGATAGGCATTAGACGAAGTATCAATTAAAATATCGCTGTCCGTGGAAGTAAAACAAATTGTTGATTTTTGTAAAAAACAAAACTGTTCGAGTAATTGGAAAGGTCAAATAAAGTGGAAATAATAGACTCAATTTTAAAAGCAAGATTGTTTTGCCAGTTTACCTGCCGGCTTTATAAACAAGGCAATGTTTGTTCTTGAAATCGTGAAAATTACCAATTTTGTACTTTATTTTCCAGTAGGTTAAAATAAAAACCGCATTGCTTTCAAAATTTTGAAAGCTAATCGATGATTGGCTGTTTGAAAGGTCACGAAGAGGTGAGCTCCTATTGGTGCCCGTCAGATCCTAACTTAGTGTTTGTTATGAGCTAATTTTAAATAGATTACCAACATGCTTTTTTGAATTGTTATAATCATATCGTATTTATGTCAAATTCATACCAGAAAGTTCTATGTCTCATTTTCAGAGACAGTTTATAATTTTTAATAGGGAATATTTTAAGTAGCCATCTTTTCAAATAAAATATGATTGTGAATTATAAGATTTTAACGACTTTCTTTTTTTAGCTACACCAAATGAATTTTGTAATGACGCTTTGAAGCTAAAACCGTTGCAGTTGCCAGATGATTGTGTTCAACAAAATACAAATTCAACTACATATGAGCTACACGAATGCTCAGGTGTTCCATGTAGAAATTACACGTCTACCGGGAAACAGAACTGTAGAGATGAGGATAACTTTTGCTGCGCAATAAAAGATTTTCAGATTGTAACTGTGGACTGCTCTGATTATGTCTTAGAACTAGTGGACGCACAATCCTGTGAATGTGATGTTTGCAAGGTATCAGAAATGACTGTTCTTGGAACTGCAAAGGGACAACAAGACGGAACACCTGTTAAATTCGGAACTGTATATGTGAATGGGGAAATAAAAAGTTATACAACAGACCAAGGTTTTTTCGAATTTTCGATTGAACCGTTGGTTTCAAAAATAATTTTAATTATCAAGGATAATATCTTCAATGAATTTCTTCCAGCTGTTAGAATAATTGAATTATCTGACGGTCTGAGTGATATTTTGAAAGTTGAAGTGAAAATGATGAGGGCTGCTGAACCTATAAAGATAAACTCATCGGTAGAAAATATGCTGCAAGCAGGATCTTCTAGCGAGTCAAATTCTTCCAATATTTTATTATCTGTACCTGCAAATGCATTTTATTTTGAAAATGGTAGTCAATTCTTTGGAATAGTTGAAGCAAGATTAACATTTCTTGATCCGTCAAACACTTCTGTTTTTGATGATATGCCAGGAGAGTTTGAGTATATTGATGAAGAAGGAAACTCTGGAGGGTTGATTTCACTTGGTGTTTTCAATCTTTATTTTGAAGATATATCTGGCAATCCTTTGATAATGAATAAAGTAATCGATGCTTATATGCCTCAAGATGTCGATGAAAGTGGAACGTCCGGAGACTTTAAATTGTGGACTTTAAGTCCCCAAACTGGCATTTGGGAACTGGAGAAAGACAGTGGCGAAATAACACGGAAAAGGAGAAGTCATGGCAATGCTTATGCATGGGTCGGTGCTCTCGCAGACGTATCGAAACAGACATGGTACAATTACGATAAGGTTTACAAATTGGCTAATTCAAAACCCTGAATGTTACTTCAAATTTGACTTGTATAAAAGTATAGAAATGGCGGAGTCCGTCACTAACCTACCCACGTTACGGTTTAATATTCATATCATCCGCGGAACAGAGGCGCATTCTATCAGACATAATACAAACAAAAAAGTATGTTTAAATATACCTTGTGAAGACGAAAAAGCTTACATCACAATGTATCCAGCTTATGACCGAACAAAACAAATATATACAGATGGGCCTTATCCACGCACTACACATTCAATATCGAACGATGGAAGAGTCCTTACGATGCAACTCTGTTCTTCTAGAAGTGGACCATTTTATGAGACTAAATCACTATGTGAAGCATCAAACTCAATGTCAGCTCCCCACCTACGTTTCTTTTACGGAGTGTCTAATTATGAGTGGAAATTTAATGAGAAATCACCATTAGATTGCCATTCTAAAAATTCAGATTTGAGAATGAGAAGCTGGTATCAAACAAATTTAAGGACAGGAATAAAGGCTTGCTTTGTAAAAGTTAGAATAGATAGCACTTTAATTTCAAATTACATGAAAATACGCGTATCCAGTTTCGGCGGTACTTTCAATGACATTAAAGGTAAGATTATTGGTATTCATGAAGCCAAAATTGATTCACGTAAGACGTATTGCATTGAATATAGATGCAGTGGTTCTATAGATCATTGTAACATTGAAAAGGTTGATAAGACGAAGGTAAAGATTATATTGGAGTATCCGTCTCAGTACGGTAGATGCGAAGTTACAGAAATACACATTAATCAGTCCAATCTCAATTATGATATCGTCAATCAATACCTAAGTGACGGAAAATTCACTTTTTATGCAGAAAACATTGACGAAGGTCATGTGGATGGTATTTATTCAATAAACAGAACAACCATTGACCATGCTAGATCAGATGCAAAAGAGTATTGTGAAGGAGCTTCCTTTCCGAAACGAATTTCGGATAATGATTATGCTGTTGCTTTCCGCTGCGTTAAAGGGTCTTAACAATATGTCGGAGTTCATTCATTGATTTATTGAATTGATATCATGGAAACTGGAAACATTAATGTTTATCTTTCTAACCTCTTGAATATTAATATGTATAATTTATTGTGATCTAAAACGTAGCATTTGCATATATACATTTTATCATAGTGAGAAGTTTTAAATAGAATATGTTTAACTTTGTGAATAAAAGTTGACAGGTTATTTTATTTATATGAAAACGCAATTTTTGAAATTCAATATTTATTTTCTGCTCATTTTGATTTACACACAACTGTTACTCTATAACAAAGGAAACTTGAAGATACTTGTATTACTTAAACAAAAGCATTATGTACATAATCTTAATGATCATTTTTGATAATAAAATCATGAAAAATGAAGTTTGTTTAATTTTTCCTATAAGATATCACAAATTCAACTGGACAAAGTTGAATTGAAATAAAGTATGATGAAATGAAATAAAAACGCTTTTCTCAATTGTAGAAATAATACTATTCATATACGATTCATTTTGATTCCAGTAAAACCAAGTAAACCCAAACGAAAAGGAAAAACATAGTTCGAATCAAAGTCCACTGAATGATTACAGTGACGTATCAACTGTTCGTGTACATCATTCAATACATTGAAGTACCATTGGTATTAAATTATGTTTTGAATATGCTGGTATTAGCGGTTATATATCGCATTGTGTTATATGTCTTGCATTTGAGTAGAGTATCAGCTATACTAGTATTCAAAAGGGAAATGTCACTGGCTTTTTCGCAGTTTTGTGTAAGATTAGAATTTAAACCGAGACAGACAGGGCAAGCCTTATAGACATTGTCTATCATTCTACATTGCAAAAGGGTGTTATTTATAGTACCATTTTTTTGAATGAGAAACAAAAATCGGGGGAAATGAAACAATTATCAGACTCGTCGGGATGTGAATGAAGCCACAAGCCATTGCTCACCTTTACAATCACTTCACAGTCCGTACCTTGGGCTTTATTTAATAGAATTTCACTACTGTTAAGAGAATAAATCTTGATTTGCTTTGTTGCCAGTTGGTTTGTTTAATCCATTTTTTGCTGATGAGTGATCTAGGTTTTCTTTACGGATTAACATTTTTCGCTAGATTTAAAGGGCCTTTATGTCTCAGAAGAAATGCCTATATTTATATTTCTCAAAAGCTTTCTTAATTTTGGTGTTCTTTTTATTGTAGTACTTATTTGCCATTTACCTGAATCATATTTTGCATCTGTAACTTTTTTTGCAATAAGGACAGTTTAGTGAAGTACTATTTTGTATGGAAGTCATCATACTACTTTGTTTTCATTTCGCTACTTTAATTACAATTAGTTCCACATTCAGCACTAAATCATCAGGTGAGAAACATCTGACATGCTCCAAAACCATTATTTAAACGTTTATGCCCTTTCAAAGAATGAAAAACAGTTTCGTTCCTAAGACATAATGTGTCTTTAAAGAAAATTTGTCAATAACGTATGGTATAACGGTAAAATACTTTTGGTCAAGGATGTCAGAATAAAAACTTTTACAAGTTACCGATTGAACTAATTTTAAAGGAAGCACGGCTGACTATATGACAAGAGTTAAGGTTTTTAAGAACTGCTCTATACAAGAGAAAAGATATATTATATAGAATTGTCTTGTCTTATCATTATTTCGATGCCGAAGTGAATACAGTTAGAGGGCTATCTTTATTCTATATTTTTTGTGATTTCTTTTCTTCCACATATGTAGATGTAACAGTTGTTAAGTTATACAAAGAAATGCCATGTGAATGTCTACTGGGAACAAAGCCGTGCTGAGCGTCCATTGCTTATAATTATAAATTTTACTGTAGGTTTGTTTACGTTTCAAACATGTTATTAGTGTAGATAACATAATCGTCGAAGTGCAAAATATAGAGGAAGTACTACTTGAGCACACGACAAAAATACAATTATATACAAATTCTCCAGGGTGTTTTACCATCGATATTATAGTCTGAAGTTCGGCATTTGTCCAGAGCTGTCCAAATTTTGCGCTTCATTAATTTTCGTAAAGATCATTGGATAAACACTGGTATCTGACACGATATATTTGTTAATTTAACAAGTCAGTGAGGTGTACAGTAGTGTTTTGGTATAGATATCGGGCTATGGATCGGAAGGTCTCTGGTCGATTCCTAACCAACACCACGTTATAAAGATACACATTTTTTTTATTTCTTGCAATAATTAATTTGAAATCGTTGAACTACATCTGGTTCTAGGATACCTGTTAAGTACTTTTAATACAATTATATATGTTTTATTGCATGAGCTTTAATATCAAGTACAGCGCATTTAGAATACAAATGAATGACAGTGTCAGTTGTACTGCCAGTTGATGAAGGTATTTCCTTTGTTTTCGGGATGTTTCAATAAACACTAAAACGTAATGACAATCGCATGTTTTTCTCTTGAAAGCATATTTTTCAAGACATTATGCAATCGTATTTGCTTTAGCGCACACACGCTATATATATGTATACACCTGTACCTTCTTTATTATTTTTACACGGAGGGTTGTTGCAAAATTTTAATAATTTGGTGTATTTAAGATATATAGGCGTATTAATGTTGCGGCAAATTACTAAGATTTCATCGACCCAATGCCACACGTACTGTATCGTCAATCCAATACACTAGTCTAACTAAATATATTGCAAACGGCGCATACAAACCACGTAAATTTTTAAAAAAAGATGTCGAAATATGCAAAAATGCCTTTATTGTTTAAGTCGCGCAGTAGAAATATGGTCATATTCATTACAAAATCAGTCATCTATTGCACATAACATGTACTCGTACATTTTTCATTTGAAATAATGTAGCTTTAAAGCACGTACTATAGTCTGTCCCATTAAAAATGGAAATGAACTTTTGCCTGGTGTGAATTAACAAAACGAGGTTGAATAAAAATTAAACTATTTTTGTAAACTAAAAAAGTCACCCTCGAGATTTTTCAGGATTTTTCTCTGAAGTGTCTACTTTTCTTGTGAAAGCAAATTTTGATTTCTCTATGGTAAATCTCTGTTGTTTATTTTCATTAGCCATTGCCGAAGTACTCTTCATTTGAAGATGAACGGGAGAAAGCACCGTGCACGTGTCATGTTTCTAAAATATACATGACGTTCTCGGGGTCGTTTCATGATTATTTTACAAAGCATGATCTACAAGATGTAACAGTTTAGTTGCAATGCATGATGGAAATCATCGAGTCACATGAAGTAAATCTAGAAATTGCACTTACTTTTGAGCTGAATAGAATCCCCATGAATTTCGAAATAGATCTTTATAAACGTCACGGCAAATTCGCATTCTGAAGATTCCTTCATTACCACAGTCCATCCAGTTCCGTAGATCCCAATTTTTTACTTTGAAACTCCTGAATGGCATGACTCAGGACTACACTTAGGCCTATGATGATCCAGATTTTTTTAAACTGTTAATCCGTCTCATTATTAAAATAGTGTTCAATTTGTGGAGTTATCTGGGTTGCCAAATGAAATATGTAAATGAAACACATCATAATTCAGTATGTTCCAAATCCACGGCCCATCAATTTAACATGTCAACATCTCTTGAAAATGGATTCCTGACGAAAAAAACTTTATTACGTCAACAACAATTTACGAAATACATGTATATGACGTATCAAAAATGCCTCGCGCTTTTCCAGTTGCGGCATTGACAGAGGGCAGTTAGGTATATGTAACCTCATACAGATAATTTTAAGTGTTGAGATAAATTTGTCTTGATGACATTTAAAATAATTTTTGTATACCCAGATTTCGCAACTTAGCTGTTAAAATTACACCTTCAATTCATATATTAATAATAAAACTTTTGATAACATTTAATTAATTTTAAACACACTAAAATGACATGAATATATAACAGTACAATACTTCTTCCATTAATTACATAGATCTATAACCTTCATTTTGATTTTATGTTTTTAA